GTATAATAAGAGGGTGTTACCCATTTGCGCCGAAAAAAAATAAATTCGTTTTGGGTGCAGCCCATTTGCGCCAAAATAAAAAAGGTATGTTTTTCCAACAGCCCACTTGCGCCAAATTTACCTGGTATGAGTGGTATGATTATAATAAAGTAATATATTTTTTTCTCAAATAATAATAAATACAATTCTATTTAAATCATAGTTAATTATACGAATGTTTTTAAAATTATTATCAATAATAGCTGTATATACACATTTTTGTGGCTTAACCTGACCGGCGAGCCCCAGTGGAGTATTTAGGGGGTCTCTCAAAGGGGTGCCGTCGATATAGGTTAAATCGTTTTCCAATTTAAATAATAACAAATAATAATTTATTTTTTAATTTTATTGGATTTGATGATAAATTATATTAGCGATTACTGATAAGTAATAATCCATATATTCTTTTCTTATTATATATTTTACATTTCTATATTTATTTGATATTTCTATATACCAAATACCTATATGTATTTATATTATAAATATAATGTATTTTATTATATTGTCATAGGCCATAGCGCATAGGTACAATTAAGAAAAAAAAAAGGCTAAAATCTAAAATTATAAATGGAGTGGTAATGGTAAAATAAAAGTGTTTTCTAAATCATAAGTAGGTACAATAAGGTATAAAATAGACATTTCAGTGTATTAGAGAGAGAAAAAGTAAATTGCCTAATTATAGGGGGGCGCTTAAAAGTGGTTTGTGACAACAAGTAAAAAGAAAATGTGAAAAAAAGGGGCTCCAAAATGTGTGCACCTAGGACGCCAAAATCGTAAATACGCCTGTGGCAACGATTGCTGTCGCAGTACTGCATCGGTACAACCATCGCCAAGGGCTGGGTGGCACACAAGCCGTATACAATAGCTGATATAATTATGTTTTTGGGGGTATTTTTTTTCGCCACTATTTCCGACCACTATAAAATATTATATAAAAATATTACACTCGGGCCGCGTTATTATTATAACGTCGTGACGCCGGAGATGAATATAATAATATGATATCGAGCTCGAGTAGGAGCCGCGTTTGAACGTGCATATATTATACATCTGTGATGCGTTTTCCGTCCGCTCTAGCCGCCCGTGGCAGCCCACCCACACCATGCACGATGTAGCGGAGGAAATTTACTATTTATTTGGTCAGCGTACGGAAACAAGCCCCCGTTTTTACATTCAACACATCAGTAATACGTGTGTGTCGAGCATGAATTTCTCTGTTCGGTACGTGCCGCCGAGCTGTTGGAAATATTATCGAGGTTATACTCTGGCCGAGGCGTGTACGGAGGCTGCACGCTCGACGAATACGCAATAAGCCCGTGTCCAAATATTACGGAATACCACTTTGGGCGTCGGGAGAAAAAAAATTAAAAAGAAAAACAGTAGTGGTGATGGGCGGGGGGAGATGGGTTGGTGAAAGGGGGAGAACACACGAGAAGCAGAAGCAGGACAGAACGAAAACGGAAGAAAAGAAAAGGGGAAAAACCGAGAGAAAAAGACGGCGGCGGCGGCGGAGACAATGACGGCGGCGGTTTTTCTCTTTGCAGCGCGTGTCCGAAAAAGAAAATGTATAAATAAGATACGGACAAATAAATTCGAGAACAAGAACAAGAACAAGACCAAAAGGACTGCTGGATGACCTGCTGACAAAGTACAAAACCGAGAACAATAATAATAATAATATAACGTCACTATTGGAAATGACATGATAAATATTCGTCTTTCCGATGCGCGCTGTGCTCTTCGCGCGGAATAACAATTGTTTTTCTATTTATTTATTTATTTATTTTTTTTTTGTCGTCACGAGTGACAAACAGCCTGCGGACCTTAGTCGTGTATTCGACTTGATGACATATACTAGTGTTGTCAAAAGCGTTCTGTAACTTTAGTGGCGTATTGTGTAATTTTTTTAGCGCGAAAAAAAGTGAAAATATTATTTATCGTTTTACTTGAACGAGTGCTAGTGGTAAGATGGATATATACCACCTACCGTGGTTATATTATATTTTAATGTATTATTTGTTATTATAATATTGCCTAACCTCATTCGAAGTGCGTTCATCGGGCGATTAACGCAGTCGTAATAATTAATAATCCAAAATATTAATTAATCAATTAAAAACATTTCCATTTTTTTATTTCAAAATATATTTTCTAAATTTTGGTAGGTATAATTATTTTTTTCATGGGAAAACTTTAATCACTTAACATTAATATTTTTTTTATTTTTTTTTGAATAATCGTCGTACGAATTTATTTTTGTAATTTTAAAGATTCATCCGGACCTTAAGTATGACGTCATCGTGACTGTTTAACCAAATACAAAAATTTGTCTGGTTGACTGGACGTTTAGTATTTATATAATAATCAGATTTAACAGGTTACAATTCACGATATAATACACATTACACATGGTTTGATATATAATAACAATCTTCTAAAAGGTTTAAAGTTTCTGCAATGTAAAATGATGGTTGAAGTTTTTCGGCTTTTCGGGTTTAGTAGAGTTCAAAAACAGTAATATTATCAGTTGTAATGTGCTGGGTATCTTTCGGTCCATTAACGATTTTCATACGATATATTATATTATTTTCATATGTCACACGAAATGCACACGTTTGGGGCGTGTGTAAAAATGGACTGGTAAATTTATTGTAACACCATACGCAGTATAGTATTTAAATTCGAACATAATATATTTTGTATGTATAGTGTTTTTTACGCACTGATGTAATCATCAGTCCATTACATGGTTTGTTTAAAATTGATGGTGTTATATCTGAATGTGTATCGCCCATTAATGAGCATAACTGGAATAAACGTCACATTAATATTATACGATATTCGACCATAACTTAAAACGCGTTACTAATCCACGGGAAGTAATTATAACTTATAACAAGGCCATCTCGTGGTACCTACTAACTATATAGCTATACTAAAATAATTTAAAGATTTTTTTTTACCCGTTTAACGGTTAGGACTACGTCGCCAATCTGCACGCATAACCTGAAAAATAAAAATATTTTTTATTAGAAATTCGTCGAAAAAATATTAAATATTATATTATGAATAATAATAATTTTGACAATCAATCGAATGAACCGATGACCTGCAGTTCTTATAAACTCTAGTAACCTTTTTTTTCTATATAAATACACATAGGTATATATATTTATATATTATATGCATATATTTATATATAGATAAACATTTAACCTTTTTTTCAGTGGTTTGTTTATTTTATGATTTCAAGTTGTATCTACTTGAAAGAAAAATACAATTATACAAACTATATAAGAGATCAAATGAAGTAATTAACTGAATAACAAGGGTAATTGTTTGTGCATTGTTTGAAATTCATTCATGGAGAGATAACCTATTATGTCCGCACGAAAGTTTTATTAAATTATTACCATCTTTTTGCATACTGCAAATAAAATGTACTACTGCACATCAACAAGTATTCAACGACCGACGAACAAGATCTTTAAATGTCCAATTAAAATCAAACGAATCAAATAATATTACACAGCCAGTGTTTTTAATTCTTAATTTGGTATTTACTTATATACGAGTAATACTATTACAGCCACGCCGGAAAGGATCGATCGATGCATTAAACGAGACGCCTATTTTAAATAAATATCACTCAAACATAATATCAAACATTGAATAAAAGTATACAGAATTATATAGTGGTGATATTTTTTTTTAGACGCTGCAGGTATATGTATACCTACGTCCTTTCTTTCGCATTTTTATGGCGATATATTCGATAAAACCACGAAAGGCGTCGATAAACGGGCGAAGAAATATTATCAAACACCCTTTTGAAGACAAAAGCTTGACCGTTGCCGAGTAAACGGAGCTCTGACCAGAATCGTTTTTCAAACACAAAGATTGATGATTGCTTTCACATCAAATACACGCGTTTTCGCAGCAGCGTTACACCAATTTCGCGCATCTCACTTTTTCGTCTTCTTTTTTTTCTGCGTTAACGCGGATCTCATACATGACTCAATCTCCAATTTTCCCAGCAATAGCTCTAGTACCCATTTATTGAGCATTCGACATTTATTATGTTTTTAAACATCTTGGGGGGTGTCAGAACGCTAGAACCCTACGCCTGCCACTGCGGCGGATGCCGTACACGAATTTCCATCGCCCCGGACATTGGACGACTGATGATAGTATTATATTATACTGTAAAAAGATAATACTATGTACGACGGTTTAGTGTGCATTGAATATGACGGGGGACGCGATGTGACGATAATGTTAAACAATATTTTGGGCGTAAACGCGAGATAGACTGAGAAAACGACATTCCATATGGGTACCTATGTATATATTATATATTTATATATACGTACCGACATAATATGCTTTGCTCGCGGATGGTACAAACACGTTTGACATAAGTCCCGGACGTAAATTGTTCCCGACAAAACCACTTTGATTTTGATTTGTACGTGTTTAGATGGTAATGCAATATTTTTCGCGCGCCAAAAATATAATAATATATAAAAGCACGTCGCGCACTAAACACACGACGCGTGTAGGTAGGTATATATGTGTGT